CCATGCGATATATGCACGATGCCCTTATATCCCTTTTTGCGATCGTATGTCAGTAGAAGGCGGCCGTACGAAACAGTACGGTTTCACGGCCTACGCAGCCTCTACGATTTTGTCAAGCTAAAACTTTTGACAATTCTCTAAAATCGCAAACCCGTAGGAAGCAGCAATATTGTAGTTGGCATTGCACAGTTCCCTTACGGACATTATTGTTCTGTGGACTTGCGGTGATCGTGAACATGGATGAACCTATTATTGGTTTCTTTCCCGTCCACCTTCTGGTGAATTAAGCAGCTAGGAGACATAACAATAGTGGAGATATTTAGTTCAACGCACTTGAATATGAAGCTGTGCGTTTCCCTATTCTGACCTCGTGGGTTCTAAAAACGACCCCCGTGGCAATTGTAATGTACGTTTTGCAAAGGTTAAAGTATGTTGCTATGGTAGAGATTACTTCGTAGGTCTGGTAACCATGGCAATGTCAGGAGGAATGATGCTGCGTAGTTGGGAGACAGCGGTGTTCACTATGCCACTAGTCAAATCCAAGAGCCTTGAAAGGAGAGAATGTTTTGAAAATGTCAAGCCTCTGCACAGATCATATCATCCATTTCTTCTACATGATCATATTATTTTAAAACAACTTTCACGTGTTATTTCAAAGACTAACTGAAAGCATACAAAGGCAAATTTTATCCATCTTTTAAAACAAGCAAAACAAAGCAACATTTGTCAACATTTCTGTTGGCGTACTTATGTAATGATCAATCTGTTTTTGAACTCAGTTATTTTACTGCACAACTGGTAGTCGATGGCATAAATAAATAAATAAATAAATTTCTTTTTTTTTTTCACAGGCTTACCTGTCTAGAGAAAATAACTTATATACTAGTACAGTTTATACAATAATCAAAACTTACCACTGTTTTTGCTGTTGAGTAACATGTGGGGTATCCCCAGAACTGTTTATTGTGTTCTTCACATGTTTAAAGTTGTCTTCGATGCTTTTTTGATATGGCTGCAGGAAAGTGCATTTCTTCAAGGCATTTGTGCATATAGATTGCTGGAAGATAGATAGATTATTTTGTTTAATTGATTAATGAATTCCTGATCAAAGATTTAATCTTAATTTTTTTCTTAAATTTGGTTCCTAAAACCCACTACATTAACCATCAGAGGGCCATGGGTCAGAGGGATCTTACTTAAAGTGTTTTATCTGTTTTCAATAAAATAATAAAAATAGCAAATATTATAATTATTATTTTAATATTATTATTATTGCTGGATAAAGAGACAAAGGCTCTATTCCCATAGATTTTAGATCAATCTATCCCCGCGGGGAGTCTCACTAGATTACTTTCTGATAATCCGACTTAAATGTCCGTCCCGCCTACTACAAGCTGTAAGGAGATAATTAACTTTCGTGTCCGCCCGGCTGACAGCTATTTAGCGTGAACCCCCAGGGAGTTAGGTCGATCTAAAGTAGGTCGATCTAATCTATGGAAATGGGGTGAAAGGGTAGCACTGTTGTAAATCAACCTTTCTTCTTGACTGATTTTTGACCTTATGATTGACCATGAATGCTGATAGATTCTTGCTTACTATGCACATATATATATATACGTAATGTTAAACGCATATACTTTTGATGCAACTATGAAGATCTACTATAAAGATGTAACAGTAGTATATATATATATATATATATATGTACATGTAATTGTTGTAATAGTAGTAATATTATAGCAGTATATGTCATATAAGTAATGTTATAGTAGATCTTCATAGATGCATCATTAATGATTATGATAACTTATTTATATCTTGAAGACCTACTGTATACAGTAATTTGATATGAATCTTCACGCATACCTTTGGTGACAAATGCATTCTATAGCACCAATTGTTTGGATACTTACATAGAGTAAAGCTATTTGGTGAGCCACATATTTATGGTTGGTGATATTGGCTATGTCGCTATTCAACTGGTGGGCCATATTGACGACTTGATTCAGCTTACACAGAACTGTAATGTGATCTGAAAAATGCATACATACACTGATACACATGTACATATACCAGTATATATAAAACTTGTATACAATATTCAGACTGGTTGGTTTTTTAAATATTCACTTCTTTTTAGAACATATAATGATATTTCAATTTGAAAGATGAATTGACCAAATGGATAGTACTGATCATGAGTGACCAAGAAATTGCTAAGCATAATGTACATTTATAAAGAAAGGTAAACACCCATGCACTCTCACTTACAAGTGCACACATACAAACACTGTGACACACTCTCTCTCTCTCTCTCTTTCTCTCTCTCTCTCTTTCTCACACACACACACACACACACATGCACACACACACACTAACATGTTTTATCTCTCACAAGTGCATCCACACACACACATTCACACACAATACACACACACACACACACACATACATACACGCACACAAGGTAAGACATGTTCTCCCTTTTGTTCTCCCTCTACCTGTGTGTATCTCTCTCTCACTAACACACAGGCACAATAGATGTTACAAAACACCTAGTGTATGTTACCTGACATCAAAGAGCATTGTAATCTTGTTGTAGTTGGCACTGCTTTGGGCAGAGATATTAATTCCAGTGCACGTGGATAGAGCCCTTGAAGACCAAGAAGATCTAAATAATCCTGGAATTAAAAAAAAAAACATGCAATTCTCAATGAGAGTCGATGATTCAATAAAAGATGACCTCAAACCAATTGTACATACTTGTTGACTAAAGGTTATATACAAAATTCTTTGCTAAATACTATGTTAATTAATTTATTAATATAACCACCTTAAAAAAATAGTATAATTTTTTAAAAAGACAAATAAAGTATATGAGATAAATTGAGATTGAATTAAATGAAATACATAAAATTACATAGCGGGAAAAAGAAAATTAATTTAAAAGCTTTGAAAAGTAGTCCCACAAGCATATATTCCTTAATTTGTCTGTTCTGATATCTGGGTATAATTGATAATCACTCTGGGACAGAAAGAAAAAAAGAAAAAAAAAATCCAAAGGAATATGAATATGTATCAGATAATAAGAATACCTACTATTAGTTGATATTGGCAGTATGTGCTCCTACACAAAACATTCTCCATTCTGTCTATTAAGATCATGGCTGAAAAGAAATTATTTGTTTAAAAAAAATACTTAGGTTCTACCTAGTATGTCGTACTCAGAAATAATTTCAAAAAATCTTTAAAAAGCTTAAAAATGCATGGTGCACTCCCATGTATTTGCATTGTTTCCCTAAACTTAAAGTCATAATAACTCTTCATTTTGGCCAAAAATTGGATTTTCCTGGAGTAAANTCATGCGATATATGCACGATGCCCTTATATCCCTTTTTGCGATCGTATGTCAGTAGAAGGCGGCCGTACGAAACAATACGGTTTCACGGCCTACGCAGCCTCTACGATTTTGTCAAGCTAAAACTTTTGACAATTCTCTAAAATCGCAAACCCGTAGGCAGCAGCAATATTGTAGTTAGCATTGCACAGTTCCCTTACGGACATTATTGTTCTGTGGACTTGCGGTGATCGTGAACATGGATGAACCTATTATTGGTTTCTTTCCCGTCCACCTTCTGGTGAATTAAGCAGCTAGGAGACATAACAATAGTGGAGATATAATTTAGTTCAACGCACTTGAATATGAAGCTGTGCGTTTCCCTATTCTGACCTCGTGGGTTCTAAAAACGACCCCCGTGACAATTGTAATGTACGTTTTGCAAAGGTTAAAGTATGTTGCTATGGTAGAGATTACTTCGTAGGTCTGGTAACCATGGCAATGTCAGGAGGAATGATGCTGCGTAGTTGGGAGACAGCGGTGTTCACTATGCCACTAGTCAAATCCAAGAGCCTTGAAAGGAGAGAATGTTTTGAAAATGTCAAGCCTCTGCACAGATCATATCATCCATTTCTTGTACATGATCATATTATTTCAAGACAACTTTCACATGTTATTTCAAAGACTAACTGAAAGCATACAAAGGCAAATTTTATCCATCTTTTAAAACAAGCAAAACAAAGCAACATTTGTCAACATTTCTGTTGGCGTACTTATGTAATGATCAATCTGTTTTTGAACTCAGTTATTTTACTGCACAACTGGTAGTCGATGGCATAAATAAATAAATTTCTTTTTTTTTTTCACAGGCTTACCTGTCTAGAGAAAATAACTTATATACTAGTACAGTTTATACAATAATCAAAACTTACCACTGTTTTTGCTGTTGAGTAACATGTGGGGTATCCCCAGAACTGTTTATTGTGTTCTTCACATGTTTAAAGTTGTCTTCGATGCTTTTTTGATATGGCTGCAGGAAAGTGCATTTCTTCAAGGCATTTGTGCATATAGATTGCTGGAAGATAGATAGATTATTTTGTTTAATTGATTAATGAATTCCTGATCAAAAATTTAATCTTAATTTTTTTCTTAAATTTGGTTCCTAAAACCCACTACATTAACCATCAGAGGGCCATGGGTCAGAGGGATCTTACTTAAAGTGTTTTATCTGTTTTCAATAAAATAATAAAAATAGCAAATATTATAATTATTATTTTAATATTATTTTTATTGCTGGATAAAGAGACAAAGGGTAGCACTGTTGTAAATCAACCTTTCTTCTTGACTGATTTTTGACCTTATGATTGACCATGAATGCTGATAGATTCTTGCTTACTATGCACATATATATATATACGTAATGTTAAACGCATATACTTTTGATGCAACTATGAAGATCTACTATAAAGATGTAACAGTAGTGTATATATATATATATATATATGTGTGTAATTGTTGTAATAGTAGTAATATTATAGCAGCATATGTCATATAAGTAATGTTATAGTAGATCTTCATAGATGCATCATTAATGATTATGATAACTTATTTATATCTTGAAGACCTATACAGTAATTTGATATGAATCTTCACGCATACCTTTGGTGACAAATGCATTCTATAGCACCAATTGTTTGGATACTTACATAGAGTAAAGCTATTTGGTGAGCCACATATTTATGATTGGTGATATTGGCTATGTCGCTATTCAACTGGTGGGCCATATTGACGACTTGATTCAGCTTACACAGAACTGTAATGTGATCTGAAAAGTGCATACATACACATGTACACATATATATACTAGTATATATAAAACTTGTATACAATATTCAGACTGGTCGGTTTTTTAAATATTCACTTCTTTTTAGAACATATAATGATATTTCAATTTGAAAGATGAATTGACCAAATGGATAGTACTGATCATGAGTGACCAAGAAATTGCTAAGCATAATGTATGTACATTTATATGCACTCTCACTTACAAGTGCACACATACAAACACTGTGACCCTCTCTCTCTCTCTCTCTCTCTCTCTCTCTCTCTCTCACACACACACACACACACACACACACACACAATGTCATATGCACACACACACACACACACACACACACAAGGTGAGACATGTTCTCCCTTTTGTTCTCCCTCTACCTGTGTGTATCTCTCTCTCACTAACACACAGGCACAATAGTTGTTACAAAACACCTAGTGTGTGTTACCTGACATCAAAGAGCATTGCGATCTAGTTGTAGTTGGCACTGCTTTGGGCAGAGATATTAATTCCAGTGCACGTGGATAGAGCCCTTGAAGACCAAGATGATCTAAATAATCCTGGAATTTAAAAAAAAAAAGAAAACGTGCAATTCTCAATGCGAGTCGATGATTCAATAAAAGATGACCTCATACCAATTGTACATACTTTATGACTAAAGGTTATATACAAAATTCTTTGCTAAATACTATGTTAATTTATTTATTAATATAACCACCTTAAAAAAATTAGTATAATTTTTTAAAAAGACGAATAAAGTATATAAGATAAAATGAGATTGAATTAAATGAAATACATAAAATTACATAGCGGGAAAAAGAAAATTAATTTAAAAGCTTTGAAAAGTAGTCCCACAAGCATATATTCCTTAATTTGTCTGTTCTCATATCTGGGTATAATAGATAACTACTCTGGGACAGAAAGAAAAAAAGAAAAAAAATCCAAAGGAATATGAATATGTATCAGATAATAAGAATACCTACTATTAGTTGATATTGGCAGTATGTGCTCCTACACAAAACATTCTCCATTCTGTCTATTAAGATCATGGCTGAAAAGAAATTATTTGTTTAAAAAAAATACTTAGGTTCTACCTAGTATGCACCCTGAGCTTCAGAGCTAACTTGACACTAACCTTTTCACTGTAGCCTATCTCCATCGTGTCAAGTAACCTCTGACGAAAATAGTTTGACCTATTTTATATAAGCCAATCGAATCCATGTTTCAAAATTTTTCACCAAAGTTTGGTGAAAACGCTGATTGGTTGATCGTCAATCGGCAATCCTCGGCTGATTCCGCAAGCTCCATACTAACAACATAGTTAGTGTCGAGTGCGGAGACATCCGAGTAGTTCCGAGTGGTTCCGAGTGCATAACCGTACACAAAGAAAGCATGGAGTATATCGGAATTGAAACCAGAGCAGTATGATGCCCTGCATCATTATCTACTGAGGGATGATGTATTTTGCGTGCTGCCCACAGGTTACGGCAAGTCCCTGATATTCAGCCTTATCTTTGATTGGTCCGGATTTGAACAAAGCGCGCTTTGACTCGTTCGCGTTCATTGGCTAGATCGTTCAATGAGTCATTGAGTGCGGGCTTTAAATTTGATTGGCGGGCGGCGGGGGCACTCGAATCTGGTCAGAGGTTACTTGACACGATGGAGATAGGCTACAGTGAAAAGGTTAGTGTCAAGT